GGGGGGGGGGGGGGGGGGGGGGGGGGGGGGGATGATGAGAGTGAATTCACCTTCTCGCATAGCATTGCATTTTCAGCTGCGAGGGCTTTTCCCTGGATTTGATAAGAAATAAAAGGTTTCGAATGAGTGATTATTGAAGCTTCGTAATTTATTACACGTGCACGTGTGCATAACATATACAATAACATGTTAAAGAGTTGTTTGACAAAGCTTTTGATCAAAAAAATTAGCAATTTTAATAAAAGAAAGTGAAATGTATGATTGAAAAGATCATAAAAGTTATGCGTGCGATAAAATTTATGGTTAAAATTAATTATTGCTTTTGACATCAACTTTTTAACAAGTTTTTAAGATATCAGAAATAAACGCTAAGACTTATTCCTAATAAATTTGAAGCCTACAAGAGTTTTTTTGTCATCCCTCCATAGGGTTCATAGTTAGCGTTCTCGAAGATACAACAAAAAAGATACTTAACAAACTACAACATATCGACCATGTTAGTTTTGGTGTATCCTCCCTTGTGCATAGTATGCTTTTAAATATTTTTATTCGGGTTTTTCCAAGTTAAATGATAACCCTATTTCTCATTTGTCAAACTTAAAAAGGGTAAGAACCAGGCAATTGTATTTTTCTTCGAGGATTTTACCTTTTCTTTTAGATCCTCAATTTGTTGTCTGAACATTTGCATCTTCAAACAAAAACAACAAAGAAAATTAATCAGATTATGTCAATTAAATTCATAACAAACACAAACCACTTAAATTTTAAAAAATACCTTTCTTGCACGAATGATCCCGACACTTCGCTCCAACTGCTGTTCTAGCTGTTGTAGTTCTTGAATAGAACATGATCCCAAACCTTCCCCCAAGAGTCTCCTAATGCATCAATGGTCATTGTTTAGAATTTTTCAACACAGTTGGCAGTTTAGAATGTTCGGTTAAGCCTAAAAGTTGCTTTTAAGTAGCTTTTTTCGACAAACAACTTTTAAGTTTCGACACTATTAATCTTTTAAGCTTAGCCAAACATGAGAAAAAATCGGATTGTACAAACCGTTTAGAAATTTCAAGAAGCTCTATCTTCTTCTTCATACTTGCCGTTTCATGCTTTAACTGCTGCAATTCCAAATAAATAGAGTGACCAAAACCTTTCAAGTTTCGGCTAGAGAATTAGAGCAATAATAAGCTAGCCAAAAACAAGCTATATATCCTTAAAAATATTCGGGAAAATTAAATGGAGACAACCTGCATATTTTGTTCATCCGGAGGATTTTCAGCATGATCATCTTTCGTATGCCTTTGGTAACGTTCTATTGTCTGCCGTGTGCTGTCGAAGTTTCACGTTGGATGAAAGCAATCAGCACAATTTTTTTTTTTTTTAATTAAAATGCAGAAAACTATAACGAATTGGTCAACTAAAGAAACGAGATTTCAATAGTTAAGAGACTTTCGAGAATGAATTAAAAAGAGGGCGAGTTTAACAGTAGGAAAAGAGATGCAATGAAATAAAAATGGGAAAATATGCATGAAAATCTACAACATACTAGATCATCATTAGCCGAGATGTACAATTTAATCAAGAAGAAAAATGGAAATGGGATGAAGCAGCCAAAGACCATAACTCATCTAAAATAGAAAATAGAAAAGAAGTTCAAAACTAACTGAACTTTCCAAAAGTAGGTTCGCCCCCTTATGTTATGGCTCGTCTTGCACGGTATGAAGCAGGTGACCCAAAGGTCGATCTCCTTGGAGAACCCTCAGGAAAATTCGACTACTATGATGAAAAGATGATTTGGATGCAATAAACAAGAACGAGACTTGTATAAGGAGTGGAAAGAGGAGGAAAGAAAATAGAGAGAAATTGGAGGGAGAAAATATGAATTAATTCAATAATAAAGTTTAATTATTACAATGCATATGCTTCCTTTATATAGGGTTTAAAATAATATAATTTACGTAGAAAATAACCGATAAAATACTAAAATCTACAAAATAAAACTCTGATTACATTCATTTCCTAAATGAGTATCTAAATTGGAAAGTTTTCCATATAATATAGCATCTCCATCAAAACTCAGTGTGAAAGGGTTTATAAAAAAAATGAATTCTGAAGGAGAAGTTGATGTTAGGGTCCGTTTGATAGGCAGATGTGGAAAAAAAATTCAATTCCATGTTAGTTGGAAAATAAAAATTCACCAAACCTATAGGAATACATTTTTTATAAAAATAAAGAAAATACAATTTAAAGTGGTTGTACCTTGAAATTTGATTCTCATTTTCACCTTGCATTCAAACGGTCAAAATGGAATTCGTTTTCCTCGAATGTGACAATCAAACAGGGCCTTAGTAAAGTACTGGTAGTTGTGAAAGGGTAATGGCATAAGCAAGGGATTGACTCAAAAGTAATATTTGAATCCAATTAATTAATGTCATAATAGCTCAATACCAATGTAAAAGTCCATCAAATCGATGTGAAATCAATATTTCTAATTAAATGGGTTTATAGAGGAAGAAATGTATGGAGTATCCCCTTGGTGATGAGAAGAAACATGAAGATAAGGTTTCCCAATGAAAGAAAACATTGTAAAAAGTGAAGCAAGCTCCAAGTTACTCATATAGTCGAATTCTCTTAAAGAATGTTTACAAAAAGATGTTTATATGATCATGCGCTCAACAACAAGGAACATTGGGACGGTAGAATTTTAGTTTTGTTGATTGTTGTGATCTCACTTTCATAAGAAACAACAACGTGATGCATGATGAATTCAAGACATCATGAATTTTTTGTATTATTTTCTTCGAAATGAAGTGCAACAAAAGAATAAGAAGACAGTGATTTTGCAAAAAGAAATATGCTTAGAATATATTCATAAAGTCAAAGATGAATGAAGCTGTGTCAAGCATTACTCTAATGGAAGCAAAGAAGATTGTAGCAAAGATTTGATGCAGCAATTTATAGAAGCTAGCTACATGAGAAATCTTCCAAAACAAGGCCAAATCTCAATGGCAACACCAAAACGATATGATTAGAAAGTTAAAAGAGTTCTCAAATACGTGCACATGAGATCGCGAAATCCACTAAATTTATTGGGAATCCTACGAGATCCATTTGTTCTTTTTTCTCCGATAGATGGTCAAAACTTCATCTGAATCGAATCTTACTGAGAGGTTCACTAGAGATCAGAAATTGTTAAAAAATCAATGAGATCTTTCTCTTGTCCCTTACAAACGATTGAAAAATAAAGAAATAGTTAATATATTCAAGATAATTACATATTTACAAAAAATTGTCTCAATTAATCATATTTCATCATATCCGGGTGTGATAGGGTTCCAAAGGATAAATCGGATATGGACATTTTCAATAAGATTTCATTCTTGAACAAAAATCTATTTTTTGATTTATTTCATTTATTCCTTAAGATATTACTTTGATTAGTTATAACAATAGTGATTTGAGAGGTAATGTTGACTAATGAACAGTGTCATGGGCATAAAATAAGTAACTTGTAGTAGCTCTCACAACTTTAGAGGTTGAGTACATATTTTTGTCATGGCTGAGAAGGGTATTGAAGGATTTGAAGTGTGCCCAAGAGAAAGTGACTACTTTTTTTAGTAACAATAATTCAGCAACTACTCTCGCTAAGAATCCCATTTTTCATGGAAGAAGCAAATATAAGAATTTAAGGGTCCGTTTGATTGTAAGAATGAAATTTGGATGAAAAGAAAATGAATTCCAGATATTTGAATTGCCTAAAATTTGTTTTACTGAGAATTGTATTTGATTGGTTTGATTTTCCACCTAAAAAATATTGAAATTTTGGATCTTTTGATATTCGTTTGGCTTTATTTTCCATGGAATTGTTCACTAAAGGGATATAATTTGTTACAATTGGGGATAAAATTTGTTT